TGGGGAAACTGAGGCTAAAGGATAGAGCTCAAGGTTTCCCTGTCTGCATTCCAGTATTTCTCCCTTGGACCTACTTTGTTCATTCCTAAGACGAGCACTTTTGTGCCTGGGTGAGAAGTTTTTGTTCCTGGCATTGATGCATTGATCTGTAGCTCTCGGAGTGCCTGTGCTCTGAGACACAGAGCAGAGAGAGCTGGGAGGGCCACTGGAACAGAATCTTCTATACCCGTGGTCTCCAAGCTTCTGTGGGTCTCAGCCCCTGGCAGGACCCCGAAGGACCATGAGGATCCAGCAGAGAGGTCTGCATAGGTGCAGCTCTGCATGCAACTCTGCACGGATGCAACGCTGCACGTAACGCTGGGACCCCAGAAACCTTCAGAGCAATGTTAACTGATTCATCTATGGGTGTTCAAAGATGCCTATTCTCAGGCCCATCCTATTGCATATCAAGCTTACCAGGATTTTGCTTCCCCCCACCCCCCCGGCCAGGTTCCCCCGGGTGATTCAGATGCAGGGAACATCTGTGAACTTCAGGGTGAAATCCCCAATTAGGTCCTGGTACTCGCATGCATTTGTAAGACACATCCTTGGGGACAGCTCGAAGGTTCACCTCCAAACGCCACAGGGGAAGGGAGCTGGAGGAGACCTTTGCCTCTCCTGCCTATAAAGCAGACCCAGTAGAGGCTGCGATTGGGGTGGGGTGGGAAGACAACCCTGCACAAGGTCAGTGCCACCTCTGTCTAGCTAGCTGCCCTCAGCCTGAGCTTTTCCACAGAGCATATTCCTCTACCCAGGAAAATCATTATCAGCCCAGCAGCAACAACAGCAGCTGTTCTCTGGCCCAGGAAGAAAGGTTCCAGAGAAGAGTTCGTTTTCTCTTTTCTTACCAGAAAAAAAAAAAAAAAAGTCAGAACCCAGGAGAGAACACCACGGTCTGAGTGCACCAGGGAGTTGGTCAGCCCGAGTCCCGCCTGCCAGCAGCTGAATCCTGAGAAACCCGAGGAGAGCCATGAGCGGCTTCCTCTGCGTTTGCTGGGCCAGGACATCATTTGTTGACTCTAGAGCCCAGTCCCTAGCTCACGATTTCCTCCCTGGTTGCCATGGCCCCGTACAGAAAACACAGCAAACTCCTGGCCCTGGGCAGCTCATTTATTTCAAATATTCCTTGCAGCTGGAATCCAACCATGTTTGGGTGTCTGGACTGGAGCATGAACTAATTGCTCTGTCTTCGGCCCCCTCCCCAGCTCCCCCGGCATAGTTTATGGTTCAGTAAATTCCACATTCCTCATCTTGTTGAGGAGTGGAGAAGGCGGGAGGGAAGCTGCGTGCTGAAGGGTGGGGACGGGAGGACTCTTCCCATCTATGGCCAAGCCCTGAGAGTCTGCTACCTGCTTGAAGGCAGGGGATTAATTACAACCACATGGGCCAAGTCTGCACAGATGGTTTTATTAATCCCACTCCCTTCGGCACAAAACGCTGCTCCCCGAGAAGTCTCCTGGCGGCACAAGGGCCCTGATTTTCCCTGTGCCTCCCCCGCCCCCAGTGCCTGACCCCAACCCCACTCCTCCCCTGCCACCCCCTTCAAAGGAAGCGGAGTTCCAACTGCAACCCAGACATGAACTCCAACCTGAAAATCATTTTAGACCACCCTTTCCTCCAACCGCATCTGGGAAACGCATCTAGGGGTCCCTCTTCCCAATACCTACCTTGACCTTTGGAGACTTTACCTGGGAAGGAAGATCATTATCAGGAAGTTGGTTTAGGAATGTCTGGTCCATTCTTTTTTTGGAGGGGGACAGAGTCTCACTGTGTCGCCCAGGCTGGAGTGCAGTGGTGTGATCTCGGCTCACTGGAGCCTCTGCCTCCCCGGTTCATGCCATTTTCCTGCCTTAGCCTCCTGAGCAGCTGGGACTACAGGCACATGTCACCATGCCTGGCTAATTTTTGTATTTTTAGTAGAGACGGGGTTTCGCCATGTTGGCCAGGATGGTCTCCATCTCTTGACCTCATGATCCGCCCGCCTTGGCCTCCCAAAAGTGCTGGGATTACAGGCATGAGCCACCATGCCCAAACATCTGGTCCATTCTTAAAGACAAAGTCGCAACCCAGAAACTGCCATTTTCCAGAAACGCAGGAGCTTTTAAAGCATTCGTTTGCACACTTGCTAAGACACCAGGTCCTGTTCAGAGAGCCTCATCTTACCCTTGCTATCTTCCTGTGAGACAGGTACTACACTATAGTGCTACAACACTACAGTGACTGCTGTTTTCCAGAGGCTCATCCAAGGCCACGGAGCCAGTTATTTGAATCCAGGTCTGACTCAGGAGCGCATACGCTCCTCATTGGGCCAACCTACCGACACCATGGAATAATTTCCCTCTACCCAGCAACTTTGCAAAACAGCTGACACTGTCACAAATAGTGGTGTCCAAACTCTCTTAGGCACGGTCACCTGGGGAGTTCAGGAAATGCATATTCCTGGGCCTGGCCCTAGAAGTGTTGACTTGGTACACCTCAGGTGGGACCCTGGAATCTGCATTTTCTCAACCCCCTCCCAGATGCTGCTGCTGTGTGTGGTCTGAAGACAGCTGGTCAGGAGGCTCTTAGAGAAAGGAACATGGGTCTTTGGGCCCAGGAATCTTAGGCCCTCAGGTCAGGCACTTTTCACGGCACTATCAGGACCCAGCACGCCTTGAGAATGAAGCGTCCCCACCACAAGCTGAATGTGCTCTTCCTAATTCTTTGGAAACCAGCCGTGACATGGGATCACATCTTAGTAAATTTCTTGACTGTCATTTTATCACCCACTGATCCCCTAAATAAGCCAGAGTTTCCTGTCCTTTCTGTTGGGGGCTCTGCCCACGTGGCTAGCAAAACAAGTTCACTCTGCAACTGTTCAGCAAACCTCACCGTGCACTCGGCCTCAGGGGACACAAAGATGAATGAAGGACCTGCTCCTTCCCCTAGACCCTAGACTCTGAGGATGCCCACAATGGCTCACACTCTGCTCCTAAAAAGCCCACAGTCAACTTAAGTTCTACAGCCCCACAAACCAACCTGCTGTGCCCACGAAGGCACAGAATCACTTTCTGTTAGGCTCAGCAAGTTTCCGCAGCTTGGGCTGCCAGGTTGAGGAACTTCTGAAATGGGGATGAGGCTGTTCTGGGGTCCTCCCTCCAGGACTCTCCACCTCCTTCTCTGGGGCTTCACCTGGCATCTCACCCTCTGCCAAGGGGTGGTAAGGAGTCAGCCCATCATCTGCTGAAAACTGTGGGCCATGGAGCTGGCTGGACCCAGGAGGGGTCAGCCGTGTCTCTTCCCCTCCCCCGAGGCACAAACAAGGAACTCAAAAATGGTTTGATATTTTAACAAACGTTCCTTTATTAGGTTACTATTATCAACCATCATAAAATAGAACGGGAGTTTCAAAACTGTACAAGCCACAAGGCTCTGGGCTGGTAGGAAAGAAGGGTGGGGTCGAGGGTCCCAGGGCGTCAGGGGGTGGGAGATGCAGAGAGAGCTAGAGGGTCACCCAGCATCCGTGGGGACGGCTGAGTCAAGGCCATAAGCTGGTATCTGTACAAGGGAAACATTTACCAGAATGTGACCCACCTGAAACAGGAGGGAGGAAAATCTTTGAAAGTCTTACAGATAAGGTCCCCTGCCCCGGAAAAAAAAACAAAAACCTCAAAATAGTAAGGGGGTAATGTACATTTCTCACCCAGTCTTGGCACCAATTTTGTGCTTTAAAAAATATACTCCACTGGAAGATTTACTTAAAAAAAGGTACTCTACAGCAGCTGTTTAAAACATAATTCTTACAGACAAATATATATATATGTATGTATATATATTAAACATTTTAAACAAATAAAGTCATCTATTGTACCTGTGCAGAAATGAACCAAAGTTAGACTCTTAAGACAGTTAACTTCAAGCTCAAAGAAATGGCAAAGGCGGTGGCAGGTGCTGGGGTATGCAATGTGGAGGGGTTGCCAGGGACAGAGCACCCCTCTCTTGCCGGCAGCCGAGCCACCCCTCTTGAGGCTCTGAGAGGGGTTGGGATGAACTGGGGCTGTTTCCCTGGGCCCGGAGCCCCAGCTGGGGTGCTGAGCAGAGACCCGCGCTGGCTTCTGTGAGGCTTGACTCTGCCCCTAGCTTCTCAGGGAATGGAGACCCACTCGCCCTCCCTTCTTAGTTCCAGGGGTCCTCTGGCACACCCAGAGCTTCTGAGGATGTACTTGGGAAAACTCAGCTAGAAAAGCAAAATCAAACTCACACCAAAAGACCCACAGAAGACTAAAGAAATGCAACCATGTGCAAGGATGCCTGAGCCCAAGAGTTAACTGGCTACCTGGAGACACAGGGGAATTGCTGCAGCCCTTCCAGATGGGCCCCCGAAGACACCCAGACTGCACGTGAGGCTCTTCCTCCCTGAAGGGCCCGCTAGGGAACTTGGAGCAGAGCCCTCTGGAAACTGCAGGGCAAGGGACCCAAAGACACACTTGTGCCTGGGCACGTGTGCACATGTGCCCAGGGAGGGCGGGCAAGGCATACACATCCCAGGGAGGGCACAGGTGGGAGGAAAGTAACAGAACAGCCAGAGAGAGGGGACTGAAACAAGGTTTCCTTTCTAGATGGAATAAATAAATGGCTTTTGTTACTGTTAAAAGAATAAATACAGGGTATGGGGCACCAACAGCCGGGAGGGATGCTGGGTGCTTATTTGCCTGCGGACGGTCCTTGGTTTCTGCTTTGGTATCCATGGTGAGTTTCTGACGTCCTGAGCTTTATCTGTCACGGCATGGCCCTACTGGGCTGGGCACCCATGGCGGGGCACCAGCCCTTGTCTAAGCACCTTTCAGTACCCCTGGTATCTGCTCTCAGAGCTGTGGCACCACCTGCCACCCCCACCACCCTGGGACCCCAGGTGGCTGCAGCCTTCTCCCAGAGATGTGGGGAGCACCCGTCCCACCCCGAGAGCAGATTGGAGCTCAACGTAGGGCTTTCGTAGGAGTTTATTCTCTGTGTCTTTTCTCAAAGAGGGGTTATATATGGACGGCATGCAGGGACACTGCCTTCTGCTGATGTCGGGAAGGGGGAAAGAGGAGCCTGTGTTGGAATCGGTCCTTGTCCCATGGAGGCAGCCACGGAGGATGAGGGAAGACCAGGGACCTCTGTCCATGGCTGTGGATGCCGGTCCAAGGCGCAGGGTATGGCGGCCCCAGCGGCAGGTGGCTCAGTGAGGTGGCACCAGGTGGCTGTCGTGCTGGCAGTCCGATGGCGAACATCACTGGTAGAGGAGGTAGGCCTTGAGGGAAGCCGGCAGCGGCAGCGTGTGGATCTCCCCCAGGCGCTCCTTCCCCAGGGCCAGGCGCACCGAGCGGCGGCACAAATCCATGAGCGGCAGCGGCTCGGCTAGGGAGACAGAGAAACTGCAGGTCAGCGCAGCTTGGGTGGGTGTTCAGCAAACAACGCTAACCATGGCAGCAATATTATCACTGATTAGTATTCATTCAAATCAGTAAAGAAACAATTAAAAATGCAATGCTTTGATTTTCATTTTAAATTTAGCATGTGAATAGCTACCAACAGGAGCCCACCCTGGGCTGGGCACCTGGGCAAGCCCTCTGCTAACACTCATTTAATCCTCCCAGTGGTTTCTTATGAATGGCTTAATAGTCACAGACACCATTACCTTCATCCCCATTTTGCAGATGAGGAAACTGAGGGACAGAGTCTAAATGACTTGCCACGGGTCGCCCTGCTGGCAGGAGATGGTGCTAGGTTTCGAACCCAGGCCATCCCTGCTCTTCCCCACTGGTGACTCTGCCTGTCCAGGCCAGCAGCTGCCGTTGGAGCCTGTGGGTCGGAGCACATGGGAGCCAGCTCTTCCCGGCACGCAGCCCCAGCACTGGACCCCACACAGGCTTCAGGAAGGGAATCATTTTCTGTTACCAGCTGCTCTCAGATACCGTTCTCACCTCTATTTTAAAGCTGAAGACCAGCTGGGCATGGTAGCTCATGCCTGCAATCCCAGCACTTTGGGAGGCCGAGGTGGGTGGATCACTTGAGGCCAGGAGTTCGAGACCAGCCTGGCCAATATGGTGAAGCCCTGTCTCTACTGAAAATACAAAAATTAGCTGGGCGTGGTGGTATGCGCCTGTAACCCCAGCTACTCAGGAGGCTGAGACAGGAGAATCGCTTGAACCTGGAGGCGGAGGTTGCAGTGGGCTGAGATTGCACCACTGCACTCTAAACTGGGTGATAGAGCGAGACTCTGTCCAAAAAAAGAAAAAAGAACTGAGGACACACAGGCACAGAGAGGACACCCAGTGTGCCAAGGGTTAAGAGCTGGGATCTGAATCCAGGCAGTCTGGGCCCAGTGTCCATGCCCTTAGCCACTAACCGTGCTGCAAATGAAGACATGGCAAACCCTGTGTTGAATCACACGTGACAGGCCTGGCTGGCCCCATGGACTGAAGGCGTCATTTCTGTGCCACCCGGAGCCAGAGAAACCCCGGGTGTCTGTTTCTGTCTGACAGTGAGGCCGAGGGTCCAGGCCAAGCTCAGGCCTCAGGAAACGAAATGCCAGCCCAGCTTCAGCTGATCCCCCAGAGCTGCCTCGGCCTTCTCCCCACAATTGCCCCAGGCACATGGGGCCCTCTCACAGCCAGGGGAACTTGGGCAGAGCTGCCTCAAGCCCCAGGGCTACAGAGCGCTTGCAGCTGCAGCCTCCTGGGCACCTCCGTCCTGCGTTCCCAGAGCGCCCAGCCTTGCCTTCCTACAAAGGAGGCTGTGTTCATTCAGCTGCACCTCAGATGAGCCGTCAGCTTCAGATCTTGGGAGTCTGAAACTCATGCCTTCCAAGGTTCCTGAGCTTGCAAGCCTGCGCGGCCCTGCTCACCGGCTTCGCCAGAGCAGACTCCTCTCTGCTCCCTTTCCTGAAACCAGGTACGAGTAAGCACACCTGGACCTTCATGGGACCGCCCGTGCTGTTCCGCAGATGGAAAGCCCTGAAACCAATGGATCTGAGGCTTCATCCATGGTCTCCCCTTGACTTTGAGACTCCTTTGTGAGCAAAATAGAGTCAGCCCCCAAAACTAAAAGAACCCACAAAACTCCATCCTACCAGTAACAAGTGGATTAAAGTTCTTCAGTATTCACCAATGTGTCTCAAAAATATGAAAATCAATTACTGAAGACCGAACACTACAGGTGGGGCATGGCAGAATGGAGAGAGGCTGCTTATGGGCACAGGCTTTCTTTTTGGGGTGATGAAAATGTTCTAAAATTGTTTCCCAGGTCTCAGCACACGAGAGGCCACTGAACTGGATACTTTAATGGGTGAATTGTACGGTATGTGATTTATAGCTCAGTAAAGCTGTTACAAAATAAAAGAATGAACATTAGGCTTGACAATGCATTTACTAAACCCCAAGCTTTAAAAGAAGAGGGACCAGGTCAGGCACAGTGGCTCAGACCTGTAATCCCAGCACTTTGGGAGGCGAAGGACGGAAGACTGCTTGAGCCCAGGAGTTTGAGACCAGCCTGAACAGCATAGGGAGACCTCATCGCTACAGAAAATAAAAATTAGCCAGGACTTGGGAGACTGAGGCGAGAGGATCAGTTGAGCCCAGAAGGTCAAGGCTGCAGTAAGCTGTGATCGCGCCACTGTATTCCAGCCTGGGCAACAGAGACCTTGTCTCAAAAATGAAAAGAGGCCAGATGTGGTCGCTCACGCCTGTAATCCCAGCACTTTGGGAGGCCAAGGTGAGCGGATTACCTGAGGTCAGGAGTTTGAGACCAGCCTGGCCAACATAGTGAAACCTCGTCTCTACTAAAATTAGTATACAAAAATGAGCGAGGCATGGTGGCTCAGGCCTGTAATCCCAGCTACTTGGGAGGCTGAGGCAGGAGAATCGCTTGAACCTGGGAGGTGGAGGTTGCAGTGACCCGAGATCACACCACTGCACTCCAGTCTGGGTGACAGAGCAAGACTCCGTCTCAGAAAAACCAATACCAGCACCACCACCACCACCACCACCACCAACAACAACAACAACAAAATCCCAAACTGAAAAAATAAACAAACAAACAAAAGAAGAGGGACCACTGCTCTTCATCCTCCATGGACGGTCACAGCCACAGCTGCTGACAAGGAACTGAAACGTTCAGTGTTTTTAATGGAGAATTTTGAAAGGGGCCTTTCGTGGCCAGCTTAGGATGATTAAGAGGAGCTCTGCTTGGAGATGAAAGGAGGAACGAAATAACCTCAGGTCCTTTAAGGTCCAGGAGCCCACAGATCCCTCGTGGATGGGGCGGGACTGGGTTCCCGCACCCAGCGGTTCAGTGTTGGGTTTCTCTAGGATGAAGCACCAGCCTGGTGACTCCAGACCCTGACCTGGAGCAGATCCCTCTGTCTGCCTGGACTTGTTTCCTCATCTGTAAGACAAGGAATCCAGACCAGATTCTCCCCAAAGCCCCATGCAGCCAAGATTCTGAAGGCCAGAAGTGCTTATCGCAGCCCTCGGCCTGGCCTGGCTTGGCGGTCGGGAGTGCATCTTCTGCACAGAGGAGTGGAGAATTTGGAGGTGTGTTCTCTTCTCTGCTTGGGAGCACGCCTGCATCTGGCCTTCATCGGGGCCAAGGGGCCTGGGCTGCCCTGAGCTCCCTCCTGGGAGGATGTGGCCCACCCCCACTGGAAGGTGGAGGGGTTCTCCTTGGTGGCTGGAAGGCACCTGAGAAAGCTTCAAGAGTCACTGAATGTGGCCCAGGAGCTCTGCCAGGCTGCAGCAGTGAGGGCTGAAAGGGAGTTCTGTCGCTACCCTCTTGGTGTAATGGGTTTCGAATCAACCTATTTAAATGAATGAGCACCTAAGCTTCCCGGGGATGGGCATAGCAGCCAGAGGCCCCAGGCCACAGGACACGTGCCCACCCCCTCGGTGTTTCTAGGACGGGTGTGGTGGCTCATGCCTGTAATCCCAGCACTTTGGGAGGCCGAGGTGGGCAATCACCTAAGGTCAGGAGTTTGAGACCAGCCTGGCCAACGTGGCAAAACCTCATCTCTACTAAAAGTACAAAAATTAGCCGGGTATGGTGGTACAAGGCTGTAGTCCCAGCTACTTGGGAGTTTGAGGTAGGAGGATTGCTTGAACCTGGGAGGCGCAGGTTGCAGTGAGCTGAGATCGCGCCACTGCACTACAGCCTGGGCGACAGAATGAGACTCCATCTCCAAAAAAAGAAAAGAAAAAAAAAGTTTCTAAACTGCAGAGCCCCCAGCCCCTGAGCCCCCAGCTCCATCCAGCACCTTGAGTGGCTGACACTGCAGCCGCAGCCCCAGTCATGGCCTGTGGGGTACCAGTCGTGTGCCTGGTGGGGACTGTGACCCCAACCTACAGATGGGGAAATGGGCTTGGAGAGGTGAGAGTTAGGAGTCCAAGGTCTGAGAGCCACGGACTCCAAAGGGATGAGGCCCTCCAGCTGGCGCAATCCATCCCCTGTGAATGCAGCTGTGTGGGGTGGAGGACTTGCCACAGCCTGGCCATCTCTGAATCCTACTGAATAAACCAGTTAGGGACGGGTCATGGGATCCACCAAGATGGGCTACAGAAGTGACAGTGAATGGCTGCAGTGATGCGTTATGAGCTGAAAATAGGACCAGAGTCACCCAGGCATCCTGTGAATGGGTCTATTCTCTGGGGCCTCAAGTACATAAACAGGTCACGCCCCCTTGATCTTGCAGGAGGAAACTGATGGCGCATAGGGCCCGGTTTAACTGCTTTCCAAAGGCTGGGCAGAGACCAAGAATGCACGGCCACAGAAACAGACGTGGGCTTCGTGCCGTGAAAAAATGCCCAGCCCCCATTCCAGCTGGTCACTACCAGGGCCAGGGAGTTCTCCCCAACCTCCACACTCTTGACTGGGGGCTGCCAGCTTTGCACCCAGCTCCAGCCACAAACCCAGGTGCCTGCTGAAATCCACCGAGGGGGTGGGCACCTGTCCTGTCGCCTGGGGCCTCTGGCTGCTATGCCCACCCCCAGGAAGCTTAGGCGCTCATTCATTCGAATAGTTTCTTTGAATGAGAGAGTGCAATGCTGAATGAGCAGCAAAGAAATCAGGAAGTCAATCAGGAGCTATTTCTGGGAGCAGAAGGCTGAGGAACTGGGAGACGGTGCACCAGCTTCCACATTTCTGTGAGAAACGGCTACCTGGTGGCCAACGTGAACATGCACAGCCCCAGAGCCCACGACTGTCTCGCCGTTCCCTGAGAGATTTCAACCCAATTCAAGCATCAAGAGTGTGGCGCTGTGCCCAGTTCATGGGCTGAATGAATGAGCTGCGGAACGGTGAGGTCAAAGAAAAACGTTCCGTATCAGAGAATGCCCCGGCTTCTGCATTGTCCTCACTGACGGCTG